GTGAAGAACTTGACTGAATGATATCCATGCCCTAGGGCTTTATGGAATGTGTTACTTAAGTGTGATGAACCAGGATATTTGGTGGGAAAAAATTTTCCAAGCAGCAAAGCATTCAGGCTGTTGTGTGGCTACTTACAAGAGCTTACACTGAATTACAGCAGCAAAGGCATGACATAAAGCCAGAATTCATAATTAAAAGGGATGCGGTGTGTAAAAAAAATGGAAAACTTTCAGCCTGGCCACCTAAAGAGTACAAAAGTGTGCTTAGGAGAGTAAACCAAGCATGTAGTGTAGTGACTCTATGCTAAAGAGATTAGAACAGAGGTAGCACAGAGGGAAGATATTATCAAGAGAATGGAAGAAGGACCCCAAGGCATTTAAGAGACCTTTCAGGCTGCCCTTTCCATCACAGGCCTAAGGCCTAGGAAGACAGAATGGTTTTGGGGAACAGGCCTGTGTGTCCTGCATGGGCTCACTGCCAAGGGCCACCTCAGGATACTGCTCCCCTCACCTCAGCTGCTCCAGCTGCTCCGGTGGCTGGACCTTCTGCTTTGGAAGATACAAGCTGGAAGCCTTGGTGTCATTCATGTGGTGTTAAGTCTGCAGGCTCACAAAATGCAAGAGCTAAGCCTCCACCCAGATTTCAAAGAATACATGAAAAGCGTGGGGACCCAACAAGAGATCTGTCACAGACGCGGAGTCAATGCAGTCAACCACTGCTACATCAATGTCAGCAAAAATGTGGGGTTAGAGTTGCAGCAGAAAACCCCACCAGGGCCATGCCTAGTGGAGCTGTGGAAGCAAGACCACCATCAAGACCCCAGAAGTGTAAAGCTACTTGTGTGCAACACTAGCCTGGGAAAGCTAAAGCATGAGCTGAGCTCAGGAAAGACAAATGGGCAGGGACAAATGAGAAAAACTGAGGGTCCACCCCCCACACCAGCGTGCAAAGGAGGCCAGATAGAAAGTAAAGGGAGACTATTCTCCAGCTTTAAGATTTAATGCCTGCCCTGCTCATTTTTTTTTTTTCCCCTTTTTTTGTCTTTTTTACTGACCGGTAACGGGATTGCAACCCTCGGTGTCGCACCCGTACCGGGGACCGGCAGCGGGATCGCAACCCTCGGTGTTGCGCCCGCACCGCACTCAGCCAGTGAGCGGGAACCGGTCTCCACATGGGATCCAAACCCTTGGCAGGAGCACCGCCGTGCTCCCAAGCGGTACACTCTCCAGTGCACCACCAGGCCGGCCCTGCCCTGCTCAGTTTTAAACTCACTGGGCTGGTCACTTCTGTCTTCTTTCCTGTTGTTTCCTTTTAGGATGGCAAAGCGCATCCTCTGCTTGCCCCACCATCGTGTCTTGGAAGTAGGTATCTTGTTTTGATTTCACAGATGGGACTTTGGACTTTTGAATTGTGCTGAAATGAGTTAAGACTTTGGGGCTATGGGAATAGAATGAATGCACTTGCACGTGAGAAGGACATGAGCTTTGGGAGCCAGGGGTGGAGTAAACTGGTTGAATGTTTGTCCCCTCCAAAGCTCATGCGGAAGATTGGGCTCCAGTGTGGTACTGTTGAAAGGTGGGGCCTTCAGGAGGTGATTTGATAGTAATGGTCCTCCCCTCATGAATGGATTAATCCATTAACGAGCTAATGGATTAATGGGTTATCACGGTGTGGAGTGGTAGCTTTATAAGGACAGCACATGAAAACGTTCTTCCTCTCCCCTTGCCATGGGATGTCCTGGGTTGCCACAGGATTCTGTAGAGAGTTCCCACCACCAAAAATGCTTTCACTAGATTTGTTTCTGGGCCTTGGAACTTCTAGCCTCCCAAACGGTAAGAAATAAATTTCATTTTCTTTATGAATTACCCAGAATCAGGTATACTGCTGTAAGCAACAGAAAACAAACTAGTATATTCCTGTAGCTGTTGTAGCTGTGAGGACAGGAGCTGCAATAACAGCCTTTTGATTCTTTTCTTTTAGCACTGGGTTATTTTCTTGTTCTAAAATTATCTCAACGCTTTCAGCCATAGTGATCAATTCAGTCTTATTAGTGACTTTTCATCCAACCTTTTTTTTTTTTTTAAAATTAGATCAAAAAGCTCTGGCCAAAGCCCATTAACCAACAAGACTCTAAGAGCCATTTCAGATTCTACAGAAACTATTCCCTGATGTATTTTCAGTCTGAAGTGTTTATCAAATGAAATTTTTAATCTAGCCCTGTAATCAGAAACTGATGTTTTTCTGTTGCTGTGATTGATTAAGGACCAGTTAAGTTTTGTGGGGAGACGATGGGAAAAGCTTCTGTCTTCCGGCTTCAGCAGAAGTGGCTCTGGAAGGGCTGCGGCTCCAGTAGCTCGTTCCTCTGCCGCAGCCGCCCGCGTTGCTGGGTCCATTATTTTGTATAAACTGCCATAAATCAGGAGGCACAGGGTCAGAGGCTCACGTAAAGATGCCAAATTCTTCAGTAAATTTTTGTGGGCTTTCTCTAAGACATGGAAGACTTTTTGCTATGGCTTTAAGTTGAGTTTTTGACCAAGGAGTGAAACTGTCGGAGCCATACCTGGCTACTAGGGGGGCCTAAATTTGCAAGGCATCAATCTGACTGCTTTTTATTTTTCTCAGGATGAAAAGGCAGTTGAGCAAAGGGATTGAAAAGTTAAAAGCAAGATGATAATTGAGCAAATGGGGTAGCATATTCAGAATAATTACGTAGAGGAAAATAAAGGGCGGAAACAGTAGAAGTCACATCACTCACTATGTAACATTTTTTAGTTTAACCTTCAATTTGCTGTTTAAGTTTTTCACTTTATTTGCATTTTGTAAGGAGTCTTTTAGAAAGGCAGTTTTGGAATCTGTCTCTTAGAACACTTTGCATGCCAATCAAAAACTTCATCCCACTGTTTCTGTGGCATTCAGAATCCTTTTGTTTTCCTAATGTGCCCCATAAATAAACAGTTTTATCTAGATTAAAACTTTCCCACTCTGACATCTGTGACTCCAAATTATCTCTGATAAAGTACATCCACTTTTCTAGAAAGGTACCAGTTCTGGATCCATAATTTTTAGACATAAAACCAGCTAAAGTTCCAGACAGAGAAGTCCCAGACTCCTTAGATACTGACAAATCCACAAGACCCAGCTCTAAAACTTCGCCTACCTGTGGCCTCCAGCTGAACCTCGTTCAGTCTGTCTCAGACATCAGCGCAAACTCCAAATCCCAGTCTGGAATCCAGACCTACTCTGGTAGCAAGTGCACTATATTGGACCTAGTACAGTTCCTGTCAAATCCCAGTTTAACCTCTACATCCAATCTGGAATAAAAGTACTCAAGTAGAGTCAGAGAGCAGAGGACACACACTGCAGAGCTTGACAATCCAAGACGGACTCACCTTGCAACCACCAGATGCAGTGATAAAGCAGACAGCACAGTCTATCAGTGGATATATTTTCCCTCAATGCTCTCCGGGGTTGCAAGGGGTCCCCTTCAGATGCCACTACTCTGAAACCAATCTGTTAAAAAAAAAAAAACTTGAGGCATAATAATATTTTAAAGACTTTATTTCAGCAAACAGCAATTTATGAATTGGAAAGAATCGAAGCAAAAGAGGTTTTAGTGCTCCAGTGACAAAGCAATAGAAACAAGTATTTATCAGGTGAATAAGAAAGTAAAACAAAAAAAGTTATTTGATTATGAATTGGAAAGAATCGAAGCAAAAGAGGTTTTAGTGCTCCAGTGACAAAGCAATAGAAGCAAGTATTTATCAGGTGAATAAGAAAGTAAAACAAAAAAAGTTATTTGATTTGTTACAGTTATAAACTTGCCTTTTTTTGAATTACTTTGCTGGAAAGTCCCTGATCACAAAATTATATGTTAGTTTGCTGCATGTGACAGGCTGAGGTTAAGTTTTGTTTCTCTCTAACACAGCATTTACCAGGAATGACCAAGTTAAGTTTTGCTTATATCTGCAGATTAAGAAAGGTTAAGGCCATTTTTAAGGACTAGCTGGTTTGTTTGTTAAGGAATTTTTCAGGCATGCTCTCCATTTTAATTTTTTTTAACAGTTCCCCTTTTGTTCATTTTCTTAGCAAGGTGAGAGTGACCAAATGGTATATTGTTACTCTAGGTCGTCATTATTGACATAGTTATTGAGATGAAGAGCCAGCAGATGTTATTGTCAAGAAAATGGTGAAAATCATATAAATATGGGGCTGGCCCCGTGGCGCACTGGAGAGTGCACCGCTTGGGAGTGCGGCGGCGCTCCCGCCGAGGGTTCAGAT